GATAATTTACACCTTGTTTTAAAGTTAGGTATTATTATTTAAAAAAATAAGCCAGGATTGGATTACTGTATATATTTTGGCTGTTTACCACAATATTCAGGTGAATCTTAAGTAAATGTTTGGGCCATATTTCACCCCGAAACAAAAAGACAGAAGTAGAAATTTAAAGATATCCATTGTAGTATTAAGAATTGAATACTGCAATAAAAAGCCTAATGGACCACAAAACCAGTCATAAGTGTCAATTTTTTATTTATTTCATCATGCTTCAAATTTGTAGCGGTGCTATACAAAACCAGTTTTGTGTATCGATACGAAATCCATAAATTTTTGTCAGCATGTTCTGAAGATGATCTGAGTCGAATTTAGTGAAAATCGGACCAACGGTTGAGGAGGAGTTCGAAAAAGTATGTTTTCAACATAAATCAAAGTGACAGACAGGAAGTTCGGTTGACTGTGGCATAATTTGTATGTGTATTGTCGGCATAAAACAAGTAATATTTTGAGACCAATTCCATTACAATAGGCTAATGCAATCAAAAGTTTTTAGCATTTTTGGAAATGTCATAATTAATGGTTAATGAATGGTTTATCACTCTTGACCAATAGGTGGCGCTGTTACCAAAATGATGTGGCTTGGCCAGTTTGAGGTGACAATGGCACATACAAAGTTTGGTGTAAATATGTCAAAGCTTTGCAGAGATACAGCCTCAGATGCATCTTTCCAGCAAATTCGTTGATGCGTTAAATTAAAACCGTTTCGTATATTGACACGAAATCCATAAATTTTGGCCAGCATGGTCTGAAGATGATCCGAGTCAAGTTTGGTGAAATTCAGACTGACGGTCTAGGAGGAGTTCGAAAAAGTAGGGTTTCAACATAATTCAAAATGGTGGACAGGAAATTCAGCCAATTATGGCAAAATTGGTAACGATGTTCTCGGCATGATCCAAGGAATCTATCAACATCAGTCTCAATAGACAATAGGCTAATGTAAACAAAAGTTATTAGCATTGTTCGAAAATTTATTATAACTTTTGACCACAAATTGGCGCTGTGCCCAATCTTTTTGAGTACTATCAGTGCATGGTGCGACGATGCATACCGAGTTTCGTAACGATACATCAAAGCGTTCGTAAAATATTGAATTTTTTGACAAAATTCAAAATGGCCAACGCCCAAAATGACTGACATGTGAAAATTGGGTATGATTCGAACCATTCAGAAGTTATAAGCAAAAATAGCCATTTTTCGTATCTCCTGACCACTAGGTGGCACTGCGCCGAAACACTGCAGTTAGCCTCAGGTCATGATTGTTATAACATACACCAAGTTTGGTCTCAATACACTAAACCTTTGCGGAGATATAGTCTAACATCCATTTTTGCATGCTTTTTGTCTAATTCGTTTGTGCGTTATTTGAGAACGGTTTGAGTAATCGACTTGAATTCCATACATTTTTGCCACCATGGTCTGAAGATGATGTGAGACAATTTTTCAGAGGATTCAGTGGAAAAAATAATTTTACTTCTGTGCCTTACAGTTCAAAAGTTATTAGCATAAACATGAGTAAAATTTTGGACAAGTGATGGCGCTAGAGAGTTTGAGATAGAGACTCCAAACTTGCTGTGGTTGATGATGAGACTGTCCTTTATCAGTGTGCCAAATTTCATAACTTTCCCGCAAGCATTTCTATGAGCTGCCATAGACTTCCAGAGCCGAAGAATAAGAACTCCAACGGATACAATAGGTGCCATCGCACCTTCGATGACCATGTATTTTCAGTTTATTTTAAGATGCCTTACAGATTTTTCAAGATAATTTATAAATAAGTTACAGTTAAGTTATTTTAATTTTAAACATTTTCTATAATTAAAAAAAAGGCTTTCTAAAAAATAGTGTATATTGTAGTTTGACTTGGTTGTCAAAAAGCAAAAGCATCTGCCACCACAATTGTAGAATGACCCAAAGAACAAATCTCCCCAATGAACATACCACAAAACGGCTTGCAAATAAGACTAACAATTACAAACGCAAACAAAACACACCATTTATGTGGTGCATGCTTGAAAGCATATGCTACTTCTGTATGAGGCTGTGCTTGCATTTCTGTGCTTGGATATAGATATTGAGAGCAGCTACAGTTCTACCATTACAGGAACAGTTCACCTAAAAAATGAAAATTGTCATATCATGTCAAACCCATTTGTTCTTTTTTCAGTGAAACAAAGAGGCATTTAGCAAAAAGTTCATGCTGCTCTATTCCATACAAGGAAAGTGAATGGGGACTGTAGTTGTCAAGCTACAAAAATGACAAAGAAACACCATAAATGTACTCAAGTTTAATCAAAATCTGAACTTTGCGAGAGAAAAAGACCCAATGTATGTCTAGCATACTCAGAAGTTTCCCCTAATGTTAGTGTATGAATTCCCTTGTGGTTATTTATTTGGCAAACCATTCCTAATGTTCTAAGAACATAGGTTTATTTTTAATAACAATAAACATAGTTCTAGAACGTCCAGAGAAGTTTTTGTGCCAATCTAATAAAACGAACACAAAATGTTCTCAAACTTTTTTAATCTCCTTCCCCACTTTCTTTTTTTATTATTTACATAACATAAAATAATGTTCCAACAACATTGCAGAGAGTTTTTTAATAAAACCCAATTTATACAGAACATTCCCTAATGGTTATTTTGAGCATTCTCTAATGCTTCTTTTTATTTTAGAACCATAAAATCTGTTAAATGTTTCTCTTTTCGTAATCATAAACTACATTTAGGGCAATTTCTCGACGACTGACATTTGTGTAATACAGCATTTAATCAAATTTAGAATTTAAGATTACTGTCAAAACGTAATAATGATAGCTTACAAATATGAATCTGTCACTCTACGGTAAGATAAACGCACAAAGAAGATGCAAATAGTCTTTATTAAAGCCACACAAGGGTAAATCCAGGACAGAACAGGCAGGAGCACACTTAGGGACGTAGTAGACCGGACAAACACAGACTGCACAGACTAGGGATTAAATAAATGGGATGTTAACAAGACACACCTGAACTAAATGACACAATCAACGGGAGACAGAAACTAGGTCACACAGAGCACATGAAGGATGAAAACACATCAAAAACAGTCCAGGGGTGTGACAGTTTGCCCCCCCTCCCAGAAGGCGCAACCTTGCACCGCAGAAACAACAAATGGAGGGACGGAAGGGGGACCTGGGAGGAGGACAAAAGAGTGGATGTGGGATGGTGGAAGGAGATGGCAAAGGGCTAGCAGGAAGGCAGGCAGACAAATACTGGAGGAGGTTCGGGCGGAGGACGGATACCCGGGAGGAGGACGACAAACAGAGTCCAGGGTGGAGACGATGGAGGGAGGAGCCAGGGAGGAAACAGGAGGAGGCAGGGCAGATCAGATGAAGGGAGGAGCCAGGAGGAACCAGGCAGGACCCAGGCCGCAGCCATGAAGGCGACCCACAATGAAGCTGACGGATGGAGGAGCCATGGTGGAGCCGACCGACGGTGATGGAGCAGGTGGTGGTGAAACCAGAGGTGGAGACAGAGAGCAAATGGTCAACGACAGACCAAGGTGGAGCCGGAGGGACGAGGGAGCCCGGCGGAGCTGGTGGACTGACGGGCCACGGTGGAGAGGAGGGAGCTAGATGGTGAGGACTGGTGCAGAGGAGGTGGGAGTGGGAGGCTGGGTGGGAGTTCAGCATGCTCAGGGGGCTTAGGAATGGTGTGTGCTGCCCACACACACCACAAGGCCACTCCCAACACCGGGAGAACCAGTGACAGGGGAACGACCTCCGTGGTCATTGTCCCACAGCAGGCCCGGCTCCAGAATCAAATCACTGAGGGTGCTTCTTAAATTAGTGAGGGTGCTGTAACTATATATATATATATATATGCTATGGCGCAAAGAGCGCTCACTAAAAAGCTGTCATTCATCTCAGTTCATCACGATCTCACAAAGATACGTTATTATCAATTAAGTTCTCTACGCTGCACAACGCATCAACACTTTGTTATAATGAGATGATTCATGCTGAACACAACACCTGAACAAAAACTCAGGCGATTTCAGCAGTGAGTGAATTCTAACTTAAATGCCTCTGATTTAAGATATCAACAGATATGTCCGTGATTGGCTACATTGCTCAACGCTGCAAAAACACATTGCGCTCTGGAGATCGATTTCTATGTCAAACCATAACACACTGGATAGTTTGCCAAATATTCAATAAAATGCCATTAAGGGGAGACGCTGCAGCCAAAAACACAATTTTTTCATGCACCTGTCAATTTTGACATTTTGGGCTTTTTGGGCTTTTCATAAAGTGTTGATAAAGACCAGTGGAAAGAAAACATCCAAAAGACACTGTTAAGTGCTTATTTTATAGCACTTTATCTATTTGTGTCAATAGATTTCAATTGCAATACATATTTTTAAAGGCTGTTTTCTCAAAATGAGTTTTTTCTCCTACACTGAGCCATAACTCTCCACTTCAGTAGCACTTACACACACCAAACTTTAAATTTTTATTCCGGTCTATATTCTGAAGATTTTTACAGAGGGATTTGTTCATATATATTTTGCTTGATTGTATACAACATTTTATTCCCCCCAAAATTTTGAAAATATATTGTTTTCTGGCTCTTCAAAGATTTTTCTGAATTATGGAATGACAAAAGGAGATACCCCAAATTCACTCTGTAAAAACATTTGACTCTATGTCAAAAATATTCAACAAGAATTTTGAAACTGACTTCATCCAGTGTTCAGATTTTTGTACTAGAATTTAATTTCATTAAATAATGCCTCATTTGCACATTTAAACATAATGTTTTAGAAAACTTGTAATACAAAAAATGTTTGCAATTATCAATGTAATCAATCAACTGGGTAAGTAAGGTGATAACTATTAGTTAATATTTTTACCCTATTCACCTGCAGTGTCTCGCCTTAATACAACTTTAACTGAGGGTGCTTAGCACCCTCTAGCACCCCCGTAGAACTGGGCCTTTCCCACAGGCAGATAGTTCAGGGCAGGCAGAAGAGGGGGCATGTGTGCATATACATCCAAATAACAGTCCACTGAGCTCGGCTCACCCTCAGCTATGGTACAGTGGGTGGAGCTTCCCTCCACGCTCTCGCTGTCCATAGTAAACTCCCCTGTGGCAAGCTCTGTAGCCGGCTCTCGCACCTGGTCTGACGTTACAGGCTCTGGCTCTGGGGCGATTCTCAGCTCCGCGCAGTGGGGTGATGGTGGGCTGGGCTCTGGGTCCTATTGTGTTCCGGTCTGGAATAAGGACTTCATGGTCTCGTCATCAAACGGTGACGTGACGGCAAGACAGGTGAAACTTAGGGCAAATGAAACTAGATTGTGGCTCTCCCGAGCCACAGTTGAAAACTTACGCCTCCTCTCCATAACGAAAAAAACCCCACAAAAAAACTTTCAAAACTAAACAAAAATGTGAGGATAACATGCCGTGCACTTTCACTTCTTTGGTCCGGTCTTCTGTAACAGCTACGGTAAGATAAACACATGACGTTCTGGAACAGTGTTGTAAATACAACTTAACCACTGATTTCTAGTAGTGTCCTCTTTTTGAAGGCCAAACAAAGTATTTTCGCTTTCACAACAAAACACACAGCGTCTTCACGACATGGCGGAAGCAACAATACTACAGCGAGAATAAGTTACTCCTTCTTTCTTTGCGTGAACATTTGGGAGGTGTTATGCAAATCTTCCCACACAGTGAGGTAGATATGTGGGGGCGTGTTAGAACGAGGCGTTTTAGGTAGGTGTGGCTGACTCTTAACTTTTATAAAGAATATCTCTTTGGATTTGAGACTTTAGTCTTTGCAACTTTAGGGATCTTATCTATTCACGAACAGCTTGTAACACTCCAAAGAGAAAGGAAAACTTGAAATCGCATCATATGACCCCTTTAACATTGTACACATTTGTGGCACATTATGGCTCCGACACGGCCACCGGCCGCTCTAGTCAATGCTTGTGTTTATACCAGCCTTGCCATGACATGTTTCAGAAGCGTCTCTCTGCACTGCTTTGCAGAAGATACACATATACGGCTGCAAAATACGTAAACCTACCAACATCCGTCGCCATGACTTTTTGCGAGAGGAAAAATTACATTTTATTCACACATAATCGGTTAATGAAAACAGCGTCAATTCGCAATAGGTTTTTTATCGACATAAAATATCGCAAAATTTGGAAAACCCAGCTAATGACAATGAATGAAAAATTAACTTTAGTGAGAAGTACTTCAACACAATTTAAACGAATATAATAAATAAAATAAGCTTTTAAAAAAACTTTATTCACTAAACAAATTGGCATGTTTCAATTTAGTAAAAGAGATGTTTGTGCAAATTTGTAAAATTGTCGCCATCATGGCAGCATTGCACCATTATCTGACTTGCACAATGGAGACATGAACGTGCACATGTAAATCATTCTCATTCACTCTGAACAAATATGCTACCAACAAACTAAATATGAAAACTACAGCAGATGAGGCAGTGATGACAGTTGAAACTAAGTAACTTTTCAGATGAACGGAGAGGTCCAGGGTTATTTAAGAAATTAACTGATAAGCCAATGGAAATTTCAAAGCTCTCACAGCACATACGCTACTAATGACGTTCTGGGAGACTGATTGGTCTCACTGGAGCATGTGTGAAACAGGTTTCTCTTTTGATCTGATCTGGTTTGATGGTTCTCTGCTGGACTAGACTGATATCATATCGCATCTTCAAACATCCCCAAAGACATACATATCACTCTCATCTTACCGTCAAACTCAGCCGGCCCGACTCCAACGATGATAACTGACATGGGAAGACTGGAGGCCTTCAACAGAAGGGAACAGTTCATCAAAACAAGACCCGCAGGAATACCCTCCTCATACAATTCAACATTTGTGACCCTCTCTGTGAAATCCAGGCTAAAGTCTCAAAATCTAATTATGAGATAACAACCATCAAAGTTTAATTTCAACCATTAATTTCACTATGATTTCAGTCTTTGACATGGCCTTACTCAGTCGATATTAAAGATATCAAGGTTAAATTTTCACAGAATGTTCTTTACCGTATGAAGGATGATTTTAAGTAGAAAACAGTAAATCACAAAAAAAAAAAATACTTTAGCTGGGTTTTCACATCCAGGGTCACATTTGTATAATAAAACATGCACAAAACAGACTTGTGATCGCAGTATTGCAATACAACATCTTGTGTTCCGATCTATGGAGGCACATGAGGCACTGTTCTCAAATATGGTACAAACTGGTTTTCATATACGTTTTTAAACAATGGCCAATTTTAAACAATTAAATGCCTGTGATCCCTGTAAAAGGGTGATTTGAAATAAATAATAAATAAATAATGAGCAAAAATGTTTGCAATATTTAGCTGTGTCCCGCATTTTATGTTCAACTCTGTTACTGCATCATTTCTTCCCATTCCTTTCCAGAAAGTGACACCATTCCATTTTCTCAATTTTTGGAGAAATTATAGTGTTGAATGGATTTGTCAAGCTAAATCATTCAGCCCTGTTACTGAGTTATTTAAAACAAATAAATAAATATTACTCTTGCAAATGTTTCATATACGTTTTTAAACAATGGCCAATTTTAAACAATTAAATGCCTGTGATCCCTGTAAAAGGGTGATTTGAAATAAATAATAAATAAATAATGAGCAAAAATGTTTGCAATATTTAGCTGTGTCCCGCATTTTATGTTCAACTCTGTTACTGCATCATTTCTCCCCATTCCTTTCCAGAAAGTGACACCATTCCATTTTCTCAATTTTTGGAGAAATTATAGTGTTGAATGGATTTGTCAAGCTAAATCATTCAGCCCTGTTACTGAGTTATTTAAAACAAATAAATAAATATTACTCTTGCAAATGTTTTTTTTTTTCAATCATGTTTTATATTCATCAAAATCTACAAAGATTTGGTCTCCTTCTGAACGAAGACTTAATTTTCTCTAAATATACAAACACTGTATGTACATGTTAATTGCAGCCCTGTTATACATTCTGACATATGCATACATTTTATGTACATTTATACATAACTTTTATGTTTGAACTCTGTAATTCTGAAATCTGAAACATGAGGCCCACTCATTAAGCCCAGGAAACGTGCCCTGCTCATCTGCACACTGACACATTATGAACGACTCATGTCATGGTTCGAAGAGATTCTGCCCATCACAGTCTGCACAATATATCACATTTCAGCGTCTCGCTTGATGTGTTTAAAGGAAAGACAAATGGATCCATTTAAGACTTTTTTTTCTAATTCTGTATTCTTCATATTGTAATAGTATCCACAATGAGGTATCAACAAACTTTGTGAGTGGGCGTAAATTCTTCTTTTTTATTGCAGCGCAATGATAGTCTCATTTTTCATCCAATAAACATGTTTTCTAGTGATTAGAATGACAAATGCCTATTGTTTACAAAGCAAACAAACTTAGACTAAGACTCTTAAAAATAAGGTTCCAGTGTGATTTTTTAAATAGATTTTTTTGTAAATTTTTAAACATTCTTTCAGGTAGATAATCAGGTATGATCCTCAAATGTCAGCCCTGTTACCATGATTTTGTAGTCGGCAACTGTTAACTGTTTAGGAAAGAATGTAGTTTTACTGCCTTGAGCAGAAGACTTGTAATGTCAAATTAAAAAGTAAACCATTCGTCTACTTCAAAATCATGGTAACAGGGCTGATATTTTAAGATAATACCTTATTGAAAAACAACATTATTCAGACAAAGAATTGTGGAATGATGTCTTTTTTTTTAACAAATTTATGGAATAGTTCATCACCTTAAAAGGGGGAACATTTTGATGGTAACAAGAGTTGATAACTTGGGGATACAATGTTGACATTATGTCAAAATCTTGCTATTTATAAACATAAAGTAATAGACCTACCACATAGTAAAACTTGGTGTCAGCTATTCATTGCCATGTTTTATAAATATGTATATAAGGGATGCTTGTATTTTCTATTATTCCAAATGGTGTAAAGATGGCAGGGAACTGTTTTTTTTTTACTTACATTTACAATGGATTCTTTCGTCTGAGCCATGTCTGAGATGACCCCATCAGAGATGATGAGGAGGATGAAGTATTCAGATCCATCCTTTACTAATGACGCATATCTGCAAAGAAATACGCTGATCACTTCATGTGCTTGTAACGGACACAGAGGCTGAATCGCAATTCAAATCCAATGCATCCTAGTGTCACAAAGAAATGTACATCTAAAATAGTCAAAAGTACCATGATGGTGTACTATTTGTGGTAGATTTTCCAAGTATGCCCCAACACATGCTTTTTGGGCTATTGCCTACAATCGGTTCTTTAATGAGGTACCAGGATGCAAACATAACATTGTAGTAACATAACAAAATAAGAAAAAAATGAATGGTTTAACATTCTATTATATGCAATCTTACTGTAAAACAAAACCTGCAACTTTTTTTTGTAACTGTAAATTGTAACAGGATATTTTTAACGCATGGCCTAAACAACTAGTGTGAAATATAATTGGCTGCCTCACCTTGCTACATGATTAATGACAGGTGAGAAGTATGTTGGTCCATACAGACGAACAGACTTCAGACTCTGATAATACGCCTCTAGAACACCCTCTATCCCACTGCAATATGGGTTTTCTGGGTTCCCGTTCTGTAAGTACACATAAAAATGAACATATGTACATGTGATACACACATTCACAAATACAAGCACCAGAGAGTAAGACACAAACATACTGTAAATGAGTGTGCTTAATTGTACTGAGCACTTGCAGTGTATGTCAAATTGTAAAATTATATTTTATATACTTTAATTTCTTTTATGGATATACATTTACATTTATCCAAAGCGACTTACAAATGAGGACAATGGAAGCAATCAATATCAACAAAAGAGCAATGATATGCAAGTGCTATAACAAGTATCAGTTATCTTAGTGCAATACACGTAGCAAGAGTTTTTCTAATTATATAATAAATAAAAAGAAAACACATGTAATAGAAAAAGAATAGAGCAAGCTGGTGTTAGAGGCCTTTTTTGCTTTTTGTTAATTGTATAATAAATAAAAAGAAAACAAATAGATAGAATATAAAAAGAATAAAAAGAAGTGTTCGTTTTTTTAAAGAAAACAAGCAGTTAGCAAATTAATAGAGTGCAAGTCTTTTTAAAAAATATAATTAGAATAGAGAGTGCTAGAGTTAGAGGGTCAAATAAAGATGGAAGAGGTGTGTTTTAGTCGATTCTTGAAGATGGCTAAGGACTC